ATGTCAAGATTGCAGGTTTGAAGCTGCTGATAAGATGGTATGTATTTTGTTATCAATTGACATAGTACATCCCCAGGCAGCCACACTACTTTATAGCTTCACAACGAAACGAAACGAGGAAATAACGTGGCTTGCTACATCTCTGGTGGTAATAGGTGTTATCTAGGACAGTCCTTCAATTTACATTCCCCCCACCTCCCATGGAACAGGTCATAACAGAAGGCATTTCAAATGTTGTAACTTCACAAATCCTTTGACACCATTATAAGCATGGAGATTTTGAAAAATTCAGTTTTTTAATTTTAAATGTCATGAAAGATTATGCAAAGCAGTGAAGGTGGAATAACTTTTTATTAATATTTTAGCAAAACTACATGTAATGTTTGGTTATATTTCTTCATCTTGCTTTTTTTTTTACTCTCATGCTGGCTAAAGGTTTGCAAAAGTGTTGCTATGGTTAAGTCTCTATCAACTATTGTCACTGGTTGTAGCAGTCACAGTAGGTTAATTTTCATTGGTATGAATTTCAACCTCCAAATATTAATTGCTTTCCATATCAAATTGTTTATTTCTTGTAAGATGTCCATCACAAGTTGGTCTGCTCGCTGTCTCCTCACCTAGCAATCCAGGCTGCCAGGTGTCCAGCATTTGGAGCATTTGGTAGTGATTGTGGCAGGTAGAAAGGAAGGTAATGAACTGGAGACTGGCTCTTAAAGACACCTACCCAGCAGATATGCATATTGTGTCCAGTGATGGGGTGACAGCAGAATTGACTAACACATTGACTAGAATAATTTCTTGAAAAATGTATTAACATTTCTAAGGTGGCATCATTCAGCACAAAGTGTGTAGATTATCCTCTTGTTTCCTTATAAAAATTTTAATAATTTTGAGTGATTTGGGGTGTGTGTTAAGACCATTGCTTTTTTTTTTTTTTTAAATGGGTATTTGGCTTACTCTATAAATTAAAAAATCAGATGGGCAAATAGCTATCTATTTCTATGTGTTATGTTGTTTAGGTAGCTCATCAATGGAATTTATTAATAGTATCAAAATATTATGACAATTTAATCAGTGACATTAGGGTAAATGTCCTTAGTGTTTGTCATGTTTTCAATGTGATTTACATCTAGTTGCAGGCTTCTTGGTTGCCATTTGGACCCAGTGAAATTTTACCGAAGTGTCAGATAGTACCTGGGAATACTCACAGCTCTCAAATAGTTGAGGCAGCAGTTATGGTTAGTGATTAATACTTGAAACAATTACAATTGCAGGGGAAAAAAAATCTTAATTATTGTAAAGGAGTTAGGTGATTATAAATATACATTTTCATGAAGACAATTCACTTAAGAGAGAGAGAGAGAGATCTTCAAAACATTCTCTGGTATTACAACTTTCAGTGGAATGGTATTAAAATTCCAATTTCGTATTGCTCATTCTTTTACATTGAAGCAGATGTAAATTTCATAAGGATTCTGAATATCATCCCATCTTCAAATATAAATGCAATTACTGGTCAATAGTTTTGGATAATTCATACATCTGCTGAAGTCGTGAAGATTTTATTAATTACATTGACTTGAACTTTGCTCTATTTGGTAAATAGGTGTGTGGATGATCTTATTACTGACAAATTTTTCGAAGTTTCAGTCACAAAAAAAAGAATTCCTTCCAAGTGAGGAATACTGTGTAAGTCAGGTACTGTCTGTGAAAGGCAAAAGGAGATCGTACACAAAAGATACAATGTTCATGCTTTAAATGACTAGAATAAAGTTAGTAGTTTTGCTCTTTTTTTAAAGAATTATTAATTTAATTTAATTTAATTTATTCATTCATTTATTTTTTAATTGGACCAGAGCAAGACACACACACACACACGTGCGCACACACACACGCACACACACACACACACACAGAGAGAGAGAGGGAGAGGGAGAGGGAGAGAGAGAGAGGGAGAGAGAGAAGGAAAGTTATAAAACAAGACACCAGGTCCTGGAATTGAACCATGGTTGACCATGTGGGAGTGTTCAGCACCTTAACCCTTAACCACCATGCCACTTGCCACTTGCTGGTCCTGTTAGTAGTTTTTGTTTGTTTGTTTGTTGTTTTCCCCCTCAGTTATTAAAGGTTGTGAAAATAATTAAATTAAACTTCCATTGTTACCCAAGAGATAATTCTCAAACTTCTGCCTCTACCCATGTTTGTCAAGTGCTTTCAATAGCATTATTATTGTTTAGGGTTTTCTTTTCTTTTCTTTTCTTTTCTTTTCTTTTCTTTTCTTTTCTTTTCTTTTCTTTTCTGTGTGTGTGTGTGTGTTTTGTTTTTTGTTTGTTTGTTTTTTTCCTCATTGAGCATGTGCGCTTAGGAGAAAAAGACAGACAGTGAGAAGGAAAGTGAGAAATCATACCCTAGGGAGTATGGCTACACCAAAATCCCTTGTCGCCCTGGGATTTTGGGCATGCATGCACATGTAGCTGGAGTGATTTTCAAGCCTCCAGTTTCAGGACTCAAATTTCAGTCAACCATGAGGGAGTTCAGCGCTTTAAGCATTAACCACAATGCCATCTGCTGGCCCGTCTCCCAAAACTATTCTTCATTTCTATTTCATGTTCTTATCTTCAGATTTTTTAACTTAGTGAACACAAAAATTGTCATGTGTTAATACTTGTCTTCCATCTCCTCCTTCTTTTGGCTACTGCTATTCTACTACTAATCCCAATACTTATTTAACCAACGTAATATGTACTACTGGCCAATAGTTTGAGATAATTTATAATTCAACTGAAGCTTCAGAGGTTTCTTTTTTTGTTTCTTTTTTCTTTTTTTTGGAGCTATTTTTGCTATAGGGCATGTGCACTTGTTAGAAAGACAGAGATAGAGAGACAGAAAGTAAGAAATCACCTCTCCAGGGTGATGGCCACACCGCAATCTCTTCTCCTCCATTCTCTTCTCGAGATCTTGAGCATGCATGCACACGTGCCCGGTGTGAGTTTAAGCCACTGGGTCCAGGAATTGACCCACAGTCGACTACATGGGAGTCCAGCGACATACTCATTACGCCAACTGCTGGTCCCCAGAAGTTTATTTTAGAGTTTGTGGCCTACAAAAAGCTTGGGCTCTTGAACCATGTTATTTTGTATGAAGTCAACTGTGCTTTTAGAAATAGTCATGTGTATATGTTCTATGTTTATCATCTTGTTTATCCTTCACAACAGATCTGTGAGGCAGGTGTGAGTCTTATCAGCATTTCATAATGGTGAAGACTGAGATCTAAAAGATTAGACAATTATCAAGGTCACTAAAATTTTACATTTAGGCTGCCTGGTTATAAACCTCCTGCTTTCAAGTAGCCTACAGTACAATGCTGTCTTTGTTTTTTTCACCAAAATTATTATTTTGATATTAGCATTCTCACCTGTAATGTAAAGGCAAGTAGTGATGGAATAATTAATTGGATATACCCACTAATAAATATTTGCCATATCCTCACATTCAAAATAGAATATCCATGAAATTTTCTAGATATTAGAATTATTTGTGTTACTGGTGTACACCACAGTTTAAAAACTAAGACCTCGGGACCAGCAGTTAGCGTAATGGCTATGTCGCTGGACTCCCAAGTAGTCGACCCGGACCCAGTGGCTTAAACTCACCCCGGGCGCGTGTGCGTGCATGCCCAAGATCCCGAGAGGAGAATGGAGGAAAAGGGATTGCGGCGTGGCCATCCCCCCTGGGGGGTGATTTCCTGCTTTCTATCTCTCTGTCTCTCTCTGTCTGTCTGGCGAGCGCACGCGCCCTATAGCAAAAACCTCTCCAAAAAAAAAAACTAAGACCTCATAATTACCTAGACAATTGTTTTGAAATTTCTTGTGTTTGTGCTCTGTGTGTTGTATAATGATCCTGTAGCATGTAGGGATAATGGGACATTAGACCATCAACCACCTTCTTAGTAGAGTGATTGATTTAAGTAGAAGGTTGACTTGCCTGGAAAATGTTCTATTTCCTCCAACATGTGGGAGAAATGTGGTTGTGTGGAAGGTTATATCACATAGGCCAGCAACCTCAAATGTCTGACATTTAAAAAATTAATTATAAGTAATCTTATCCTGAATTATCTATACCAAAACATGTATTCCATGTGGACTTCGTTTAATTTCCACTGTTATTTCTGCTGTTGGGGTACTATTTTGCTGGTGCTATTTTAGAAGATTCTGTAATATGTTCAAATCAAAACTTAGTGTATTCTACAGCGCAAGATTCTTAATCTTGCTATGCTATTTAGGAAAGAGTTGCCAGGGAAGACTGGGGCATGGAGAGTTGTATTCTGCTTAGTTCAAAGAAATGTTTTAATCTTTTCCTATTATCAGTATATCTGTGAATTGAACTGAATAGAATTAGAAAGATCCCAGGAGGAGAATAGAAGAGAAGGGATTATGGTGTGGTCAATACTCCCCTTTTCCTTTCACTGTCTGTGTCTCTCTCTGGCAAGTACATGTACCCTATGGAAAACAAAACAACAAAACAAACCAAAAAACACTCTTAAAAAAAAAAGCATCCTTAAATCTTATTTTATTGATTGTCAAATTCATTTTGGTAAAAACAAAAACACCTATGGAAGCATTTCAAGAAGTACATTGGGTATTCCTAAAATGACATCTAGTCTCTGCTCTTGGTCACTTAAGTAGCAGCATGCCATCTAAAAGCCACACCAAATTTGTTGTATGGGAGAGAGATGATTAAGTAGATGAAATATTATTGCTCAAATATGGATTTAAAAACTTCAATACCAGGTGTCAGGTCATTTTCAAATGACAATTTAATACTGATATAACAGAAAAAGAAACAACCCTGAAGAATTGAAAGCAATAAAAGTATGTATTAAATAAGAACAACTTGAAAGCATATGACTACTAAAAATGTGATCATTCTGTAATATAAGCATTTTAAAAAGTCATATTAACAAGTTGGGCATTTTCTTTTCCACATGTCTCCCCATCCAGATTTATATTTTTGAAAATAATATTTACTATCAACCGGATATAAAAAGCAGTTCATTGCGACTGACATCTTCAGGAAAAGAAGGGATTATTTTCAATGGGATTGCTGACTGGCTATATGAAGGTGAGTTGAACAGATTTAGAGTTAAAAGAATACAAATGACAAAATCTGTAAGAAAAATCTGATCATTCCAGAGCAATACATACAGCACTATTCCTCCTCCTCAATCACTCTCAAAATCACCGTCATGCTTTCATATCTTTGCATGTGGTCATATTTGGACTTTATATAAGTAGTTCAAGAAGGTAGATTTTATGTTTTATGACATTTAACTAATGAAAGTGAATTAGTTTCTTACACTGCTACATCACTGTAGAATTAGATGGTTAATTTCCCTGAAGCTCTGGAGAAAAGAAACAAAAACTTTACAGCTGAAAAAAATTAAAGAAAATCACATGATTGTAGTTATTTGCATTAAGGACTCTGTTGCACATTTAGCAATCCTTTGCATAAGTAGTTAAGTAAAATTTATATAAATAGGTATTTTCAGTAACTGTTGAATCAAATTTTAGTAACAGTTGGGAATATAAAAATGAATAAGATGATGGAAATCTCTAGTTTTAATCATGTACCAATTGATAACTGAGTTCTGAGTGCAGATCGCCTGAGGAAGATTTAAAGCTTGAATTCAATACACAGGTTTCGGACTCTGCAACTCATCTTGGCAAAATATATCAAGCTTTAAATTAAGTTAGTCTGTTTGATTAGATTTTTAAAGCTAAGAATCATACAAAACCTCAAATTTATTTTTTTGATTAATATCTGCAAATTCAATCTCTCTACTTCAGATTCTGTACTTTTCATTCCATAAGAAAAGAGAATCATTTGGGGCATTCATTCATTCTCTCAATCAACAAATATTATTAAAAATCTACTATATTCCAGGTATTCGTTTAGGTATTAAGATACAACAGAGTAGGGATCAGCAGTTGGCATAATGGCTATGTTGCTGGACTCCCATGTAGTCAATCACAGTTCAAGTCCCAGACCTGGTGGCTTAAACGCAAGCCAGATGTGTGTGCATGTGTACCCAAGATCTTGAATGGAGAATGGCAGAGAAGGGATTGTGGCATAGCCACCCCCCCTTCCCCCAACCACCAGGAGTGATTTCTTGCTTTCTGTCTCTCTCTCTGTCTTTCTGGTGAGCACATGCACCCTATAGCAAAAACCTCTCTAAAAAAAAAAAAGAGAGAGAGAGAGAGATAACAGAGTACCAAAAAATGTACTAGTCAAAGACCTTTCATTCAAGTGATGAATTTTGCTAAGTGGAGTAATTTAATTGGGGAAGGGTTGTTGTAGCCTTGATACACACACACACACACACACACACACACACATATATACACACACAGAAATATAAATATATAAATATACATGTACACAGTATATTTCTGTGTACATGCTAGTATCGAATCATATTTTTAGTCTATAGATTATTTGAGAAGTACTGAGAGCTACTACAACAATATCAAAATTATATTATTCACGTTTTTTTAAAAAACAATACAAAAGTAGATAAGTAGGTTCTTTGGTTTAAAGTTGACAGAGGCTCACTCATATTTTCCTATTTCAAACGGATAAGTGATTAGCGTGGCCTGAGATGGCCCACTGAATTGAAGACACAGGCAGAGAACACCCTTGAAACCGGGATCGTTCTGAGAACCTTGGTAGCAGCGCTGATGCCTTTACGCTAGAGGAGTGCAGAGACTAATATGTACCTTTTATCTTCAAAATGTTGGTACTGTGTCAGACCCAGACAGAGGCAGAAATCATGGCAATGTAGTGTGGTAAGTACTATAGATGAATCTCAGTAAACATAGCATTCTATGGAGGAGACAAGGAGTAAGACTTCCTTAAAGAAGAAACCTGAGTTTAGCCTGAAGGAAGAAAGTAGGAAGGAAAATCCAAGCAGGTTACAGCTTGCAAAACTACGGAAGAGTTAAATAGCACAGCATGTGTCTGAGAAACTAAAATCCGCTTTATATTATTGAGGCATGAAATTTGAAACAACGGGAGGCAGCCAGAATCAAAAGATGGTGACCTCTAATAGTGATCTGGGATTTCTATCACATTTTCTACTAATGAGTGGGAAAACTAGTAGCTTTTCAGGAAGAGAGTGACAAGATTAGATCTTCTGCATAAATAGATCATTTTGGCCACAGTGTGAAGCTAGAATCAAATAGCAGACAGAATCAGTGAGTAGTTATAAGAGTTCTTCTGTGTTCAATCAAGAGATAATGAGCAGTGGAACAAGGTTTCAAACAGTAAAAAGGAGGGAAGACTCTAAAATTGATCTGGTAATAAAATAAGTCTTCGTGGCTATATGGATGGGGCAGATTAAGAGTCAGGAATGACTCTGGCTTCTGGTTTGGGACTGGCTGTCACAGTTAACAAGCATTCACAAAAAGCTGTAGATTTCAGAGATGAGAAAAGTTATTTTATAGGAGTGTGGCCATTTCCCAGTGTGCCGGGATGCTACTTTGAGTGACAAAATGTGATCCTTAACGTCTATTCATTTTCACTGAAATACGGGTATTCTTATTGTACACTCTGTTTACTTTACTGACTTGCTCCTTAACTGAGAGAATTTGGGCTTCTATTCTACTGAGAAAGCTTTATGTATTCAGGTTATGGGCATTTATTTATTTATTTATTGGAGATGTTCATGCTATAGGGCACTTGCACTCGCCAGAAAGGCAGAGACAGAGAGACAGAAAATGAGAAATCACCTGCCGGTGGGGTGACCATGTCACAATCCCTTCTCCTCCATTCTCTTCTAGGGATTTTGGGTACACACATACATGTGCCAGTGTGAGTTTAAGACACCAGGTCCAGGACTTGAATCGTGGTCGACTACGTGGGAGTCCAGTGACATAACCATTACACCAATTGCTGGTCCCAATGGGTATCACATTTTAATGAAAATTTTAAGGGCAAAAATTACAGAGTGTTATCTAATAAAGAAAGTAATTTTTATCATTACAAAATCAAAATCTATAGATTTTGGTTAAGTAAACAGTGTTGGGGAAAGTGTTGCAAGATAAACAGGTAATAATATTTTATAATGACACTGTGAGTCTCACACATTCACAGGTAAATGAAAAAGTTACACCTTTTGCTATTCAGATTAAACTTAAAACTGATATTGCAGAAATACCAGAACATTTCATTTTGTTTGTGATTTAATTTTCACCAGGCTGGTATATTTATAAGGTAAACAATATCTTGGGACCAGCAGATGGCTTAAGGGTTATGTTGCTGGACTCCCACATGGCTGACCTTGGTTAGAGTCTCAGACATGCAGCCTGAAATTCAGGATGGGTGCAAATGCATGCCTGCCCAAAACCCCAAGAGGAGAATGGAGAAACAGGGACTACAGCATGGCCCTCAACCCCCATCGTGGAGGGGGTGTGATTTCTCTTTTTCTGTCTCTCTGTCTCTGTCTATCCGGCAAATCCATGCAACCTATAGCAAAAATAAATAAATAAATAAACAAACAAATAAACAATATCCTTATCAATAAATTATAATTGCCACATCTTTTTATTTAATGAGAGCAATGTAAAAATGCCTATTACTTTATTTTCGTCTTCTCTTGAACACATGAAATCACATCCATTCTTTTCTTGCTTCAACAATATCTTTTTGAGTGATTACTGCATGCCAGGGAAATGACTCTCTGTTAGATAAGAGAAAAAAGATAATAATAGAGGTGCAGTCGTGGAAACCAGGAGGAGACACTTGTCCATAGCACTAAAGTCTCTGTAGCTCAAACAAGCTGTACATTCCAAAGTTACCCTTGCATTTGCAACTAGGTCAGTGAAATAATGTCAATCAGTAGGTTCAGTGGATGAAGTTCTAAGTGAGAAATGAGAGAGTTTTGAATATAGACATTCTTTTCAAGAAACTTGACAGTGGCATGCAGAAAATCGGGAAAATAAGGAGGAAAAATCAACCACAAATCCTCAGGACTGTCACATCCTCAGAAAATCCTATCTAAATTGATAAACTATTAATATATAACATCAACTAGCTTTTCTGAATAGCATGTTAATCTGAACACAGTGGTTGTATCTTTGTTAATTTTCTTCAAGTGTTTGGTGTTGAGGCTGTGTGTAACTGTCCATGATATAAAATCACATGTGCTGAAAACTCCATCTGCTCTATAGCAAGATTTTCTAAATTAGAGGAAAAAATTAACACAAACAATAAAGACAAAACCTACCCTAGATATGAATGAATGTAATATATAAAAATAGTTTGTAAATAATATAGAGTATTTAACATAGAAATTTCAGTTCATGAGTTAATGTCTTTACTAGTTGCAATTAAAGACTTTTTATCTGGGGTGATCTTTAGATAAATGCTTATTAAAGATTATTTTATTTATCTCATTCTCATTTTAATTTGCTCTGTTTCTGAAGAAAGTTGCAGAACTCTTTATATATTATATTGATATTTTATCATTTTCATGGAAAGAATATTTGGCACTGAGCACTCTACAATAAATGAGAGTAGGGAACATCTAATTTCTGTTGAAAAGTACCCTCAAATCCAGGACATGCTTGCTCTTGGGAAGTACTTGGCATGTATAATTTAGAGCCTGCAAGGAGACTTTCTTTGTAGATATGTCTGTATCTTTGATATGATTATTGTATACTCTATGCTTTGATATGCTTTAGAACGCCATACTCTCCTTCACAAAGACAATCAGAAATCAAAATAAGTTTTAAAAAATTTTTCAGAGTATTGACTTTAGCCAACAGGATATCTCGCTAACCTTCAAATTTCAAATTGGTTCACACTCAATTGGCACTTAACATACATACTTTATTCCTCAGTGTGTCTGTCATTCCCTCAACTAAATTGTAATTATAAAAATCAGGATCAGGACCATAACTGGAAAAAAGTGTCTAGTTCAAAAGAGAATAATTCAAGGAGACTTTATCTATGAAGAGATCACATACTGAGGACCAAAATAATGCCACAACCTATGATTAGTAATGATTTAGCCATTGACACTTCATATTGGGGGAAGAGGAAGCAGTTCTCAGAAAACAGAAGGGAGGAAGCCTGTAGATTTTTCACATTAATAGTAGCAGCGAGTATCAGTTGAGAAATACAGCCTGCCCCACACAGTTTCCATGGATGGGAGCCAGGAAAATAACTTCCATGTGTCCACATCCTCCTTTCATTTGATTTTTCTGATAGATGAACCCAAAACTCTATTACTGCCCAATCCTATTACTTCTTCCTATTAGGAGGCTATCATTTCAGTTTTCCATTGACCAGGACTATTGGACAAAGATGTATTTGTGAATCACCTAAGTTATAAACATATTCTTTCTTGTTCTTTGTATTTGAAAGATGCATTTTATTTCTGGAACATGAGATCAATTGTCAAGTCCAAGTCCAGAATAGCTTCTGATTTGTGTTTTTTTTTTTTTTTTTTTGGTCTCTAGCTATAATGAGACCAAAATGGCCAAGGGAACCTTCAGCTTCCAATTCTGAGGAATAGAATTATGACTACATTCCTGTTAGAGAAATTCTTCTTCAGTGAATCAGATAGCAACCAGTTCATGACAAGCAGTTTATGTTGTATAGTAACTTGATATCCTGTGGTCATACCATAGATTTTTTTCTACCAAAGCCCAGTAAACAGTTACTTTTGAAACAGATCGTATTTATCAACACAAGAGAAAATGGTATTTCTCTAAAACTTGAAATGTCTGTGCTATGTTCATCACACGGAGGGTACCAAAGGAGCCACACAATCTCCTATTTTGCCATGGGCACTGGCATTCCTATTGAATCTCTTGGGTCCCAAGGAACAAGGGACAGAGGAGTTTGCATAATGGCCTTGGGGTGTTGCAGAACCCTCTGTTGCACAGGTTCTATTCAGAACTGGCAGCTTTACAGGTTCCCAGGGGACCAAAACAGAATAGCACATGTGAGCATAATTTATCTTGTCTCCAAAATCCAATCCATCTTTTTCTTTACTTTTGTGTAAGTACAGTACCAACAATTTTCCCTCTCCTTAGAAAAATATTTTATTATATCCCAGACTACTAGGTCTCTAAAAAGCTCTCCAGTGTTTCCGGCTCTTAAACCTTGGCAGTAATTTAGGGGACCAGCAGTTAACATAACGGCTATGTCGCTGGACTCCCACGTAGTCAACCGCGGTTCGCATCCCAGACCCAATGGCTTAAAACTCTCGCCAGGCATGTGTGTGCGTGTGTGCCCAAGATCCAGAGAGGAGAATGGAGGAGAAGGGATTGCGGCGTGGCCATCACCCCTGGAGGGTGATTTCTCGCTTTCTGTCTCTCTGTCTCTCTCAGTCTGTCTGGCGAGCGCACGCGCCCTATAGCGAAAATCTCTCCAAAAAAAAAAAAAAAAAAAAAAAGAAAACCTTAGCAGTAATTTGCCTCCTATTCTCTGTTTCTATCCATTGGAAATCCACTTCTCTTGGATAGTAGTAGGTTTTGTCAGCAAAAAGTCTTGTGGGAATTCTGAGGTTGAAAACTTCAGTCATAAAATTAGCCACAAACAGCACCATTCTACAAAGTGTGTAATTTATGAACTAGTCCACAAAACATAGGCATGACATACCTTTATGTAAATATATTTATCTTATATGTCAGGGTCCCAATCTTTCTTCACCAATATCTTTATTATAGCTAGAAAGAAAAATGAAATTGGGAACCAGCAGTTGGCATAATGGCTATGTCACTGGACTCCCACGTAGTCGACCGCGGTTCGTGTCCCGGCCCCGGTGGCTTAAAACTCACGCCGGGCACGTGTGCATGCGTGCCCAAGATCCCGAGAGGAGAATGGAGGAGAAGGGATTGCGGCGTGACCATCCCCCCTGGGGGTGATTTCTCGCTTTCTGTCTCTATGTCTCTCTCTGTCTGTCTGGCGAGCGCACGCGCCCTACAGTGAAAATCTCTCAAAAAAAAAAAGAAAAATGGAATTAAGCTCCTCACTTGAGTTGCAGCTCCACAAACATTACTGTGTTCTGTAGAACAGCAACCACATCTGTCCTGCAAGTATAGGAGAGACAGACTCTTTCTCTCAAAGACATGGTGATCTTTTGTTCTATATGTGCACTTCTAATTTCACAATGATATTTTCCATTTAATTTTCTTCCTGAATAATCTCTCGGGGATATTAGGAGAAGCACATGGACTATGTTTCACAGTCTAAAACAGGCATCGTTGTTGAGTCAACTAAATGCCACAAGTGCAAGTTCTTACACTTTTCCCTCACCTGCACTTTATGCCACATTGCCGCCAGTGACAGCTGATTACTCGTGATTCTCCTCCTTGCTATGGATCGCTCAGTGCTCCACTTCCCACTTAGAAAGGTGATTATTGCAATCTTTTTATATATACAGGAGAAACCAAATCTCAAAAACAAATTTTTAAGACCTCTTTTCCAAGTCTTCTACTGGCACTATCACTGTATCTGTCATTGTCTCAAAAGGGAAGACTACGCATATTCAAAAGGGTAATTAGAAGAGAATTTATTTATAAAGATAACAATAACAAGGGTGGAGGTGTAGGGAAACCATTATGGAGAGAGCTGAGATCCAAACTAGTAGCAGTCAAGCTGTCACCACTCCTCAGACCATAGAGATGAGCTATTGCCAGGCAGAAGGAAGGACTTGTGTAGACGAGGCTCTATTGACAGGAATAGAGACATCTTTTAAAGTTCACAGCCAGCCTGAGGAGCCAGCCTGAAGCATGGAGCCCAGAGAATAGTCTGTTCCTTCTAATCTCCTGCCAAAGCACCACAATCACCATGTTCTCTCTCTGAAAACCTTTGATGTAGGTTAATTCTCCAGGCCAGAAAGCAAATGTAGAAAAGTGGAGAGTGGATCTTGGATTACATAAAATAAATTCAGCATATTTCTTATTTTATTTCCTTAGAGCTTCAAATAGCTTAATAAATTTACTGGGTTCCCAACTTGTTTGATGATAAGAAAATAGAAATATGACTACATGCAAATATGAATGGATGGTGACATTTATATGGCTTAGGCCATGTCTTACTATTCAATTGCTTACTCATTTTACTCCAATAGTGCTTTAAACTACCCTGTCTACATTGCTGACAGTCCATAAAATCCCGACTTTGTTGCTTAATTTTTTCCTTCCTATGTATCTGCTATTTCTTACATTAAAAGGATAACTGAGAAAGCAAATTCTCAGGGAAAATGATAAAATCCAACACACTGTCTAGAAACTGTGTACAATGGAGATTTCAAGGACAGATGTTTGTGGGTCACTGAACCCACATGTCTACAGTTGGTTTCAATTAACACTCATTTGTTCTAGAGGAACTTCTGCATTCTCATATCGCCCACTGGTGGTCACCAGATGGAGAGAGACTTGCCTTCCTGATGATAAATGACTCCTTGGTGCCTACTATGGTTATCCCTCGGTTTACTGGAGCATTGTACCCCAAAGGAAAGCAGTACCCGTATCCTAAGGTAGGTAATGTGGAAATGCTAGTTTGTTCTTCTCTCTCAGCACCAGTGACTTGATCGATGGATATTCTTGGTTCATGAACAAGTTGTCTTTGGAGGAAAAGGAGTTTCCTTTTCTTACTGACAGATTTGTCATTTTTAGCTCACTGTGGTCTGCACACATAGTACTTAGGTAGGAGGAGGTAGTGATGATTTGTCAAGTGGGATCGTTCTCTCTTGCTCATTTCTTTTCCTCTGATGCATTTTCTTGTTTGTTTACTTGTTTCTTTTATTTATTCTCTCACTTGCTCAGTTAAAAAAAAAGGTAAGAAGAGATAAGGGGCAGAGCACAGTTTTCTTCAAGATAGATTCAATGAGCTGTGAATGGTGTTATAAGGAAGGAGCAATGCCATGAAAAAATAAGCTGGAAGTTCTTTGTTAAAAAAAAAAAAAAGGAGCTTCTTTCAGATAATTTCTTAGCATACTTAATATACCATATGTTAATGTGTGTTATAAATCTCCTATGAAAAATAGACTAAGCATAAAGAATCTCTGGTAAGGAATAGATTAAGCATAAAGAATCTCAATGAAGAATAGACTACGCATTAAAAAATCACCAATAAAGAACAGACCACGAGGAAAGGATTTATTAGCATTAGTATTAATATCAGCATTACTTTAGCAGAGCATGCTATGGAAAATACTTTAGAACTGCTGACACTGAGTCATAGACTGGGACGAGTAGGAGAGATGAAATCGTCTCATTGGGCATGCAAATATGGAAATCCTGACCAACCTACAAAGTGATATTCCAGTGCTGGGTTAGGGCTCTAAAAGATGGATGTATAAACATCTGAAGTTTACTGGTTTATGCCATTTTTAATGACTCAATGTCTGCTTTTTAAATTGCATTTCTTCATATTTACATAACAAAGAAAAAGGCTCAAAATAAATCCCACATACATTACCCATGTAAAGATAGTTTACAGGAAGATCTAAAATTCTACTTCAAACATTTTATCTGTGAATTAAGAGAATGTTGATTTCACTTAAAAGCTGGGTTTTCTTAGCCATTTCTTAAATGAGTTCTACTGTTTTTTGTTCTGTTTTGTTTTGTCTTCCTGAAGCTTGATAGGTTTTCGGCCTTTGAATTTGTGCATTGCATTGAGTGGGCCAAGTACTAGACAAATTTCCATCATAGTCATTACTCTAAGTCTGCAGCGAAGGTGTGGTCAGCCATTCACACTTTCCTCATGTTCCTACCACCCTCAGACTCAAATTATCCAAGGGTGTAGAACAAGGGGCTGGAGTATGGAGAATCAGGAATGAGAAGAGCATTTTAATTCTAGATTCTAAACGGTCTTTTTTTCTTCCCCCTCCCATCTTCCTACTGTAAGTTATAGTATTAAATTCAAAATTCTGGAAATCTGATTCAATAATTTTGAAATGTAATAGCATCTTCTCTGGACATAAACTAGAAGGCACATATATTCAGTGTTCTGCAGAAAAAAAAATACCAATCTTACCACACAATAAAATAATCATATTCACCAAGGAATTGTTATTATACACACACATGAAATTCTCCAATTACAAATAAATTTAGCCACTTTTTTGGTGAAAGACAATTTATACATTACACAAACACCTATTTTCTTCCCCAGAAAAAAACTGAAAGGAATTTCTAAGTATATTAATGCTCAGAATAGTTGATTTGCTTATGATATTGAAAGTTCATCTGAAAATGTAAATAGAAAATGGAGATCCAGTGACCTACTGTGAAGGGCATATCCCACTACTCAATAAACCATACAAGGCAGTCAAATCACAACAACTTTTTTTTTTTGGAGAGGTTTTTGCTATAGGGCACGTGTGCTCACCAGACAGACTGAGAGAGACAGAGAGACAGAAAGTGAGAAATCACCCCCCGGGGGGATGGCCACGCCGCAATCCCTTCTCCTCCATTCTCCTCTCGGGATCTTGGGCACGCACGCACATGCACCTGGCGTTAGTTTAAGCCACCACGTCTGGGACTTGAACTGTGGTCGACTACGTGGGAGTCTAGCAACATAGCCATTATGCTAACTGCTAGTCCCCACAAATCAGAACAACTTTTTGTAGAAAGGACAATTTTCTGTAATTATTTTCTCAAGAACAGTGGGCTTTTTGTGATTCACATTTTTAAAGTCATATGCATTAGCTTCAAATTGCCATCCAGTAATGGGCTTATGGTGCTAAAGCTTGGACACTTCTATGTCTCCTAAGTTTGATAAGACAGTTGCACAAGTACAAACTTCTGAGAAAATTGATTTATTCTGAAGTAATTCGGAAGAGATTCGATACAAAGCTAGACACTTTATATTTAATAATTTGTTATTCAATTAGTTATTTAATATTGCTTAATAGTAAAAGTGAGCATACCGTAATAGTAATGTTTGCTTATCAATTAAACACATCATGTGTGCTAATAATGTACTTCATGCTTCAGAGAGACTTTTCACTTATTTCACCTCATTTTGATTTTTAATAATCGCCCCTATTTTTTCAGTTTGTGCTTTTGTTATTATTATAACAATCCTTTTTACCATCTAAAGCTTATCAGTAGCTTTTAGAAAAACTTCCTTACTGAACAGTTAGTCACTTTTTCAGGAGACACTATAGGCCTTCCTGTGCACAATGGCTGTTGGTTGGCATTTGATGAGCATCACCAAGATGGCCTGGGGTAGAGGTGCTCCTCTATAAAGCAGTGAGGATATGTAAGGGGACCTGTGTCCACATCGGTCACTGGGAAGATCCAACCTGCTGTTAGGAGAATGCCCTTTGTAGTACATCTGATCACTGACCTGTCATGACACCTCCACCTTGAGAGCAAAGATATGCTAAAATCTCTGTTGTGAGTCAAATTAGGGAACCCATATTTTAGGAAACAGTTTATATGTTTAGTTTGGTGTGTCAAAACAAAGATTGCAACTCCTCTGAGTGTAGACAAGACCACTTTGGAAGGGTTGAGAGTTGCAAATTTATGAACAAGGTGAACCTCACCTTGGAGTGATTAGTCAAGCTTTTGTCCTTCTGACAGAGGTCACCTGGATGTCCCTGCACCAATACTTCTCTCACTTTTTCCCCTTATGAATATCCTTATCTTCAAATGCCTTTATTCATGAACTTACAATACTGTGTTGGAAGTGAAGCAAACACAATCCAGAAGTAGAAAGTGAGGAATGAGTAACATAAACAGAAGTGGTTTCTGACGAAAATCAGTTTATAAACTGTACTAGGGAGAAATGTTCACCTGTTGAAATACTCATTTTGTAAGCTGAATAATGTGATTGAATGTATAAAAGAAAATGAAATAAAAAATGAAAATAAGAAGAAAATCAATTAGCTGATGGATCTTATTGGGTAAATTGAAATTATAAAGGGTTAAGTGCTTTTATGAAAGTCATTTATTTATCTGTTTATTTATTTTTAGTTTTGGGGGATAATTTGCACGTATTTACCAGAGAGACATTGACAGAGAGAGGGAAAGTGAGAAATCATCCCCTAGGGGGTGTGGCCATGCTTCAGTCTCTTCACCTCTATTCTCCTCCTGGGATTTTGGGACTTGAACTATAGTCAGCTATGTGGAATCTGGCACCTTAACCATCCTGCCACCTGCTGGCACCAAAAATCACAGCTATTTTAAGAACAGAATAACTCAAATTTGTTTATTCAGCTTCTCTCAATAAAACTATCAGAGGTCAGTTTATACTAAGGGCTTCAGAGTTCTTGGAAAACTATAATTAAAGCACACATTTATTTTGGTGCAAAAACATTGGAAATTCCTAAAGAGGTTTTTTAAAATTTTTTTTTCTTTCCATAATTTGCATTTCCATGAGTTTTTGGAAGACTCTTTTTTTCAGAAGCTCCAGTTGTAATCAAACATCTCCTTGTCAAGTTAACAAATATTTGCGGAGCTCTATGTGCCACACATATTCCTAGTCATTTTCTATGTAGGGGTCACAGTTTTAGCCTACACCTCCTATATACACTTTTTCTCTCTGTTCTCTGGTGTGCTTACATGCCCTATGGCAAAAAACTAAAAAAAAAAAAAAAAAAAAAGAAATAGAAAAAAACTTAAAAATGAAGGTTCCAAGTTAATGACTGCTTGTGAAGAGTATTTTTTTAAGTGATATTCTAGCAGCCAAAGACAAAAGGAAGAATCCCTAGACCTCAAGTAGTTTTTAATAGGAACACCTGCCCAGGTACTCAAGGCAACAGGGCTCAAAAAAAGTAGTTTTGTGTGTTGATCTTTGTTCTCAGAATAAATTTTAGTATCATTTTATGCATGTTACTTTCATCTTCAGACGTATTATTTTCTATTTTGTTTTAAAAAAGGCTTGTTAGTTTTTCCCATAGCACATGCATTGTTTCAATTAGCTTTAACTTATGCCGTAAACTTTGAAAAAGTGGTAGCTTAAAAATTGAAGTAACAAATAGAGTTCATAATAAATTGTGTTTTAAATTAAACTGCATTAAAATGAGTGCAGCAAATACCTAATGTGGTAAGATTTACTAATGAAATACACTAAACAAATATATTTGTATTTTACTTAATTCAGCATGATTCAGAACTCATAAAATACCCTATCATTAGCAATTCAGCACAAAAGAGATGCATAGTTCTATCTCAGTAACCTCAGGTTAATCTTCTTAATTAAAACATTATCTTGTTTAATGACAATTTAGTTGCCAGTAAAATAAGGTTAATTATTAAGGCTTGTGTTTCAGAATCATAGAGAAAGGAAATCTGTGGATTTGCAGTCTTTGTAGCAAATGTGACCATAGAAAGCAAATAGATGACCTTCTCTAATTTCCGAACTCTCGAAATGCCTCAAATATTAAACGATACAACTGAACCTGTAATGTGTGCTTAATTTCAAAACTCTATGGAAAGATAAAATTCTAACAGATAATATAATGCTTGACAGCTGAATTTTGGAGATAGACTTATGTTTGAGTTGCTCACTTTTTGTCTAAGAACTAGCCAAATGTGCACTTCACTTTTAATTTGTGTTCATGTAGGAATTAATTGGAATATCAGTAATCTTGTAGAGATGTAGGTTTAAAGTGATATTGACACAAAGAAAACTGCCTTAAAGATAATGATAATAACTATTTATATCTTTGACAATGTATGTCATATGCTTTTCTTCATTGCTATGAGTTCAAAGAAAGATCAAATTTAATTTTTTTTTGCTTTAATCAATGCATTGAATGGGGAAAAAAATAATAAGCACAGAGTTTTACTAACCAGAAAATATTTGGTATCGTAAAAGCTATCATTTTTAATTCAATTATATGCTATTTTATCCACTGTATGTACATCTTTTTTATTAGTTCCATATAACAAAATTGAGAGTTTTTTTTATTTACAGAAAAAAAAAATGCCTTTTAAATTGCTCATGACATATTCTCAGTGAAGTATCTGTTTTACTTTTGATAATCAAATCAAAGAATACTTAAATATCTTTATCATCTGCCGTGGTCCACATCAAGTAAATAAGAGTCAAAATTCGGGCCCACATTACATTGATTCACAGATTAAGTGAAACCAATTCCAAATGTTGTCATTTCACGAGCCTCAGGACTATCAGCCTTATGCTTGAGGTGGGATTCAGCAGAGGCTTAACAGTCTCCAGGCCTCTGAATGATTCTGATGCAGGCTAACCTATAACAACCATTGAGTATGCCAGATGAACAGAATGAGATAGAGAGATGAACAGATAGATATAGAGTTGGTGCTTTATCAAGTTTACAGGCTAGTTATCTAGAAGTCTTACTAGGGAACAGATTGTAGGCCCATACTCTAAGATTCTGATTCTGGGTCTGAGTGCAGGTCCAAGAGGGTACACGAATTTTGTTACCTGCAGTTTTAGGTGGTGCTGATTGACGCTGATGAACTGAGAAGAGTACTTTGAATGGCACTGCTAAGTACTATGGCCAGCTCTGAATTTTAGCATACCTGTTTGAGCTAAAGAAATGGTCTGACTAAAAATTACATGGATAAAGTTAGTATTTGCAAATAGAAACATGGCAAGTAAATAATAGAGGAATGATGTACTAAGAGTATTGGAAGGCTAAATTGTTTAGGCACTGAAAGGCTTGAGGTCGAGGGAAAAAAATGCACAACTCTGACATCAGAGTCTTTGGTGTGAGACAGGCTTATAGTTTGCATTCCAGGAAGCCCTTTATTGTATGAATCATTTCCATAATCTTTTTTCTTCACATCTGTTTATTGCAAGCCTTCTCTGACTTATTATTTTAATAGAAATTTTTCGTATAAGGCATACGTGTTTGCTGAGAGACAGAGGAGAGAGAAAGCAAGGAATGACCCCCAAGGGGGTATAGCTATGCTGCAATCCCTTCTTCCCTTCTCCTCTAAGTATTTTGGGTATACATACACATGCTCCCAGCATAAATTTCAAAACTCTGAGTCAGGGGCTCAAACTGTGGTCAACCCTATGGAAGTCCAGTGCCTTAACCACTATGCCAACTGCTGGCCCCCTAAATTTTCTTTGGCTTAATACTTCTTACCTATAGTTGATGCAGCTTCACAGATGTATTGTTTTCTTGTGATAACCTGAACAAACAGTTCTCTTTTTTTCTAGAGATTTTTGCTATAGGCCATGTGCGCTTACTGGAAAGACAGAGAGAGACAGCCAGAAGCTGCTCCCTCTGGGAATGGCCATGCCAAAATCTCCTCCATTCTCCTCTCAGGATTTTGGGCACGCACATACATGCTCCTGGCTTGAGTTTTAAGTTGTTCGATCTGGAACTCGAACAACTGTCGACAACATGGGAGTCCAGCGACATAGCCATTATGCCATCTACTGGTGCCACAAAACAGTTCTTGAGAAGCTCTTACTGACTACTGGTAGAATGAATTGTTACTTCTGGTCTTGATTTTGCCAATGCCAATTCCTTCAATGTAAACCTTTCTTTGTCATTTTAAATCAAAATGATCATTCTCCTTAGATTTTTGTCAGGTCTTTTCATTCAACTCACTTTCTTTTTTTCTTTAATTTTTATTTTCTACATTAATTCACTATACATTATCACAACACACCAATGAATTTTCCATCCAAAATACACTGTGCATTGGTTCAATCAAGCACATCAACATACATGTTCTCAGCAAATAATTTTCCAATTCTTACATCCTGCATACCTTGCCCTTTGTCTTGCCATCCCTGATTCCCCATCCCCCACCCTCTGCTATGTCCCATCTTCCTCCTCCATTGTCCCTGGCATCCATGGTTGCCCTCCATGCCTTCCGCCCCCCCCCCACATTCAATTGTTCTGCCAATGAATTTAATTAGTCTAAATATATCCAATAGGTAGCACAGCTGACACATACCTATACATGTACCCAAATCTGACCCTAGGCATAAACCCCAGTGAGTAGAATGAACATACTATAAAGTAGTACCCAGCTG